TATTCCTGCGGCTTTTGTGATCTTACAAAGCTTCAAACGACGCGTCGACTATTAAATCAGTCGTCGACGATTTTGATAGTCGACGTAATCGTGACTAGTCGACTATAACATATCCATTATAATGGCATTAACCTTGCAAAGCACTATATTTATATCAAGAGTGCATTAATAATGATTCTTGTCAAAAGCTACAACGTATTATATTGTACACATGCCTGGTCCCATCATATGTATTATAGATAGCATTACAATTTTGGCATTGCGGGACAGAATGATGGTGTTTGAATATTCTGTCCAGATATATTTGCATATGGAGTGCTAATGTGTTAAAAATACCTTTTATAGCAGAGCTGTTATACTGAACTACATTATACTGAGGGCATATAGAGATTAAAGTTCTTGAAAGATCTGTTGTTGTTGGATGTATTTACTTTACACTGATATTTATTTTTTCCACTTATCTGGAAAAACACAGGAACCTAAAACCCTTGGGTGAAGCTTGTTCTGTTTGCTGTTGCTTCTCTCTGCTGGTCTAATCTACCAGAGCCTGAGATTAGCTGCTTTGCAATGGGTGATGGACATTAGGAAAACTAATGACAGGAAAAAACCCCAACAAAAAAACAGAAACCAACTGCTTTTATGCACCTGAGCCACTTTTTGGATTAGTGTTTGTGCGTTTGTGTGTGTTTGCATGCATGCAGGACATGCGGCAAGGATTGGAGGATGATGATGCTTACCAACACATGTGGGCACAGTGCCGTTCCACTGGGCCAGGGCATTGGGCACAGCCTCGCACCTGATGGCATTGGAGCCGTGCAGCGTGTAGCCTGGACTGCATTCAAACAGTACTGCCATACCAATGCCAAAGTCATTCCCTATCCGCTTCCCAAAGCGGGGCTCAGGGACTGAGCTACACTGAGTGGCGCTTGTCCGAGGGACAGCTAAGGATAAAGGGGGAGGAAGCGAGCATTAGAGGAAGAAAGACAAAGAGCGGTGGGTGGGTTTGTTAGGCAGAAATACAACAGGGAAAAGGAGACAAGGAAAGACAAAGGAGGTAGAATGCAACAGTAAAGCCCTTGTGAATCTCCTCGCGCGTCATTAGTCACTCTCATCTGCTTTGCCAGGATAGGCTATTTGACTCCACATCATTTTGCTTTGTTCAGACATGCCCAGCCGTATCCAGTGGCACTCTGCTGAACAGCCCTCTGTTTGATGAGCGCTGGGCTAAAGTACCTTCACCTTCCCCCGAAAGCAAACAAATGCAGTCAATCTAGCAAATAATTAATTGGATGAAACTCTGGAACTATAGCAGAAAATGTAACGTTACCTTGGTAAACAAAATGAAATCCTTTGGCTGTTTCTGTTCCATTTGTGGTAAACTTTAGCATGATCTTGTTTCCTGAACTCAAAGGTAGGGTCTCACCTACACAACAAAGCAAAAAGAAAAACATAATCAAGACATTATCGGTGTGATTTAAATTGAAATCAAAAGGATGTTCTTAAGTGGTACGGCACAACACAAAGGATTCAGTGCTTTTCTTTGTTTCAACATTTTTGACAGTCTAACCAGGTAGAATGTGACAACAATTTACAACAGCTGGTTTGCTTTTGTTATTTTAATTGGGATCTCAGGAGTTTATTCAATTACAATCATAATGTAATTATATAACATCAATATGAGAATATATGAAGGGAAACAATCTTTATCCCCAGCAGCTTGAAGTGGCTCAGATAACAAACATTCAATTTGTTTAGGAAAAATAGTAATTTGATTAGAATTGAGTCGCATGTGATGTACTGCCCGCAATTCTAAATGCTGCACTCGACCTTTCAAGGCCCTAGCCATACTTATGAGCAAAGAGAAACTAGGCTTCAAAGTCAAAGAGTTATGCTCTTACCTGAGTGTGATCCATATATGGAAGAGAGAAGGGCTGAATCTGTTGAAGAACCATCATAGATCTCGACCACATCGCTGGTCAAAGTCTGGAATACCACAAACTGACCAAAGAGAACTGCAGGGAAAGAAGCAGCAGAGGACAGAGAACAGAAGACAACATGAAGGTGAATTTGTGCCAATAAAGGTTTAGATCTGTCAACATTCATCTGATTTACTAGTTTGTACAGTCCCAAAGAGTGTGGCTGCTGCTTTGGCAATACTGCCGCTTGCTTGTAGTGAATAACATGCACATGTCTCTGCCCTGACAGACAAGTAAAACAGCCAAGCTGCATTCAGTATCAGCATTTGTACGACATCTATCGCTGGCCAGTTCAATCTTATTCTGCTGATTTACACAACCCTTCAGCGAGGCTGATTTATCAAGCTATTATTTACCGATATCAGCCACACACAGACACACAAACGCGCGCGCACACACAGATTCCAGATGGGATTTCTGTGTTTTTTTTTAGCCCTCACAATTCCAATTAATATAAGTTTTATGTTAAGAACAGTATAACACTACGAGGGCACTTCAGGACTTTATAAGCTGCAGTAAAACATGTGACTTTTGGTGCAATATTCTTTCTGGACAGTAGCTTTTTATAGGTCACATTTTTCTCAGGCAAACTAACATCTGCTCCCTACTATAAACCTTTCCGTGGCATTTTCTGAACAACCAATAATTAGGTATTCCTTTGAACTGTGCATCTTTCTTTGGTGTGCCATGGCATTTAACATGTTCGGAATGACCTTCATACAATAGGGTGTTTTAACACCTAAACTAAAAGCAAAAAATCCCCCTTTTTCTGCAAAAATACTGCAATTTTGAAGGTTTAAAAACAGCCTTTTTAATAACCAAATAACCAACAAAATGTCTTTGCAAATATCAGCAATGCTACATTTCCTTCCTGTTGCTGGAGGGGTGTGTTGGTGGGGGCAGTGGATTGACAGCAGCTGACAAGGTGAGCTCAGGCACAGGCAGGGGAATGGGAGGAAGCATAAATAAACTGGCACTGTAGCCTAAAAGCCGTGGGCAGGGAGTATTTTGTTAGCAGTAGTACTGAAGAGTAAGGACACGACAAGCATCCAAAACAAGTGAAATTTGGAGGAAGGTTTACACGCTGTTTAATATGCCACACAAGAGCAGTTAATTTGCTGTCTAGCCCCCAAACTGACATTTGCAGAGCACTTTTCCTCTGTGAATGTTTGTCCGCTCACTCAACAAACCAAGTTGCAAGACAAACGACAGTACATCAGTCACTGTGACTGCTTGCAAAAGAACAGTGTTGTAAATATGTAAATGTAAATATGTAAATGTATGTAAATATGCCCTAAATTAATGTGAGGTGACTGCCTGTATGTACACAAATTTCCATATTAAGGCAGATAAGAAATTAAGAGCAAAAACGATTTTCTGTCTCTATTGAATTTGGATTTTTTTTTCTTGAAAAAGACGGGACATATTACTGTATGACAAGCAATTTCAGCTGAACTTTAAATATGATATGTATTAGCCGTTCGCTCCTATTTCAAGTGTTAAACAATCCTGATTTAGCCAAAATGAATAAATAAAGACCACTCAGAAAGTCACCCGAGTCCATGCTGCATCACCATAAGCATAAAGGCACAGGGAAGCGATCTGGCCGAAGTATTTGTAGTATCTGACCTTTAGTTTAATGAAACATCCATTTCTTGATGAAATGTCACATGAGAACATTACAGTTTATCGCAAAATAATTAAATCTTGTCCTTAATAAAAGCAGTGAGGGAGAACTTATGATAATGAACAGAGAATTATTTAAATAATGCTCTGCATAAATATTTCCAATTAAGCATTCCTGATTATATCGATGTGTACACATCCTTGAAAATAATCAGATTTTTTTTTACCAAATGAATAGACATGACCAACTGGATCACTACCTCTGCAACAACTCGTGTTTGTGTCTGTGCAGTTGTGCGTGCCAGTGCAAATAAATGTACTCTATGCGCGCGTGTCAGCAATGATGGTTAGGAGGCACCTTGAAGGCTACTTATACTCAACGTGGCTCTTGTTTATCCCTTTCTCTGTTTTCCCACACTCAACCCACCATTCTGGTTACATTTACCGCATTGTTGCAATAAGTTTATTTCTCTGTTTGTCCCGAGTCACCGTGCTAATTATTATATTCACAGTGTTTTCCAAAGAGCAGCAATTATCACAAAATCTGGCAGGAGCAGTTTTCCTTCATCACGCCAGGCAGGTCCATAAACCCTGTCAGTAAGCGGCAACTTACACTGCGCCATTCAAGCTGCACAGATAAGCACTCACACCATGACTCCATCAGTGACTGTGGGCACTGAATCCTTTATGTCTGAAATGCAGGTATCACAATAACAATAGAAAAAAGAAGAAGAACTATGAGTGCCCTCCGTTTCAATAAAAATAAATTCTGCACTGTATTACTGAGATAATTAATGCCTTTTAAAGTGACAGTAATTCACAATAAACTAATTGTTAACATAGAAAATTAATCCGAGACACCATACTATTGTGCTTCAGTGGGTAGAGTCAGAATAAAATAGCGTTCCTAATCAAAACAGGTGGATTCAGCAAGAGCTGATCCTAAAGACAAAGTTAAATTCTTTATATGTTTAATAATGATAAGGAACAAATACGGTCTATGCTTGCTTAATATACTAACAGAAAAGCCATTTGAGGAAGCAGATTTACTAGATTTAGTTTTAAAAATTACTATTCATTTAAAACTTTGACTAGGAAAAACTGCAAGCAGTTGTGGTGACTAATAGGACATCTAGAGGGTGAGGGTGTCGTGTACGTTCAATTACAAGGTGACCACCTAGTGGGAGGCAACCTGTTGCCAAATAATGTCCAACTCTGCATGAATGCAATCACTCTCTGACAACTTCGCAAAAGTTCTCAAATAACTAGTATGTAATTGATAGATAAGCTACTGGCTGGACTCTAAATGTAAATAGTTACATGTGAAATCCTGTATATGTAGACATCAACCAATTTGTGATTTCCCTTTGATTTATCACAGTTAAATTCCTGTATTATTACAAATAGATTGTATGTAATTGCTAACTGGACCCATTCAATCGTAAACTACTAAAATGAAAGGAGACTCACTCTGTCTAATTGCAGTTTTAACACCCTCTTTATGACCCAGTAAGACAACTGGTGAGTGGTTGCAGACCTGGTTCCCATCTTCCGAATTCATTACATGGTTAAAAGCATTTCTTTTGTTGTGGTGCTGCCTCCAACTACTGTTTTCCCCTAATGTGATTGTACCATGAAGTAGAAAAAGCATCTGTTCTAACTGGTACACAAACATACAGATTATCAATAACTGGGCTGCAGAAGAGCAGACTTCATATGGCTAAAATCTATAAATGAAAAGCAAGTGTGGCATGCTTTTTGTCCAGTAACAGTGTTCACCTATGTGTAAGCACACACAGGATCCACCTGAAAAGGTGTCAAATAAAAATAACACAATCAACAGAGGCAATTGCTAAAGGTAGAAAAGGCAGCATATGTTTTTCCTTCTGGCTATGAATTATGCAGAATTTTCCTGTCTTCTTCACTTTGTAGCAGTACCCATCTCCTCTGGCAGGTAGCCAACCACCATGAAACCACTATCCCCACTACAAAGCTAAGAAAGACACAAGGAGTAAAAGACACTTAGCAGGAAACAGAAACAAGGGAATAAGTAACCCCTAAAAGCCACTGGAGGCAACGCTGCATCTTATGGCCTAAGAGGCAAATGACAATACAGAAAACATGAAACGAACAGCAATGACATGTTTTTGTAGTCTAACATCTCATTGCTGTAGTAGTTTGTTGAACTTTTGTTTTAATAAGGGTACCCCGCTAGTTATTACTTGTTGCAAAATGTAAAGTGTCAAAAATGAAACGACAGCCGAACAAGCTTCATAAAGCAAAAAATCCCCCAAAAACAGAAACACATGGACACGCATGAAGTGGTGTTCTCACCCAAAGCAGCACAGGCAGACCTGTTTCCTTATCTGTTGAGTCGAGAAAATACCTATGGCTGAAAAAGAGTTTGAATAAGAGATTATTTTACCCTTAGGGACAGCTCACTGCTGCGGTATTAGCATACCAACACCCTGTTAGAGGCTGCACTCCTGTGCTCTGAGCACACACACACACACACAAAATATAAGCACAATGTCGCTCATTTTTGCCTCTAATCCAAAGCCAGCCATGCATGACTCCAATCTGCTCCTTTGCTGTAATCATGTCCAGATATTAAGTCAATAAATCATCGGAAACTTGTTACCTAATTTGTGCAGGACTATGATGAATCTGTTGTCCTCTGGGCATCGTCATGGTAGTGTAATGCACTGCACTTGGACAATGGGAACAATTTTCATATCTGCATCTTCACCTTGAATTATCTCAACGCAAGTCACTTTAATCCTACACCTCTCAGGGTATTAGATCGTGATATTCGTATATTCCTGTATCTCAAAACCAGTAATGCCTGCCAGGCACCGATAAAGCATGAAATGTACAATTATACTTTGATCCTTCTCTTGAGTGATGGCAATCTAATTTTTTCCAATTTGAAAGCAGTCATTCTGGAAAATGTGACAAGAGGCTTCAATGGTTTTCTACCATCTCAAGTGCAGCCTGGCAGATATGAATTGAATCAGGGGAAACGTTTAAATTAACCATGCAATTTAAACAATCAAGAAAAGTCTTAGGTGGTCGTGCATTACATAATTTACATTAAATGTAATGGCAGAGGAGTCCACACTCAAAGATACACCTATCTAGAGTTGCATAAGACATTTCTACTTCAAAACAGAGAAAATTGGTTCAGGCATGGGCTCAAAACGGTGATAGTTTCCACGCACAGTTCTTGCAGATATTTTCCAGCACATTCACACTGTAAGGAAAAAAACCCTTGCCACCACATCTCAAAGGTGCTCTATTGGGCTGGGATCTAAAGAAAGTACACGAGGAAAGTGAAGTAAATTAAAATCACTGTCATGCTCCTGGAGCCATTTGGAGATGATGAGTGCTTTGTGACAAGGCTTGTTATC